AGGCAAAAATTACCTCATCCCGTCAAAAGCCGACTCAAACATGGACCAGAACGCGCGAAGTGTTAGAGGGACAGCAGGCTCTGATAATCGCGACGACACTCCTCCCTCACGGCCCACCTACTAGAAGCAGTCCATTTATTTCGCGGAGTCTTCATCTCAATGAAGGTCCTCAGCCGCACCACTATCCAGTTCCCCACCCCTTCCAGCACGCGATGAGCGGACGAGGAGACAAACCAGTAATCCGTCAGTTTTCGCCGAAATCGATAACCAAACGTGTTCACTCTTCCTAACGAGTAACGGGGATGAGGAGTCTGGGAGAAGCTGCAATTCAGGTGGCCGCTCAGTCATTGCCGTAGGACGCAAACGACGGAGACAGGCGGCTGGTGGTCGCAGTGCCCAGATTGCCGACTTTACCAGGGGACACCCAACCTGAAGGAGTTTGATGTTCCAACCTACCACCGACGCAGTTAGAAAACAACAAATCTTTTACTAACACTAACATCCTATCCGGGCATAGAAGTCTTTTAATTAACAGTGCTTCAGGCCGATTTTCTGGTAAAACGCACAGCAGATTCAACATACTACTCTCTCAAATCACTCGCAGTACCGAGGTGCTTGGCTTGGAGAACTTTCCTTGTTTTACTTATCGCCTTGATTTCTCGCCAAACGACCACCTTTCCAGTCTTGCAACGCTGTCTAGGGATGAGGTAGAAAGAAGTAGCACTCGACACCCTCATGAGCGTACCATAGGAAGTCTTCCAGGCCGGTGAAAAAACGTACACGATCGAAGAAGTCACGACCTTCCACTCTTGAAATTATGAGACGAAGACAATCTAACTCAACAGTTTTGCCCACTAGCATTTTACGCTTTGTATACGGCAGCCCATCGCACGGTTGCGACTCCTTCCAAAGTATACCTGTGACACCCATTGGCGGATCGACAGAAGCACTGAACAAGAGTGACCTTCATCAGGCACTTAAAAGGGACGACTTATCCCCTAGCTGCAACGTCGGGTAGAAGAGCTCCATCATGAGGACCGCCGTTCGATAATGAACGCCCTAAGATACGCACGAGCTTTGCAAGTCCAGTAAGTCATGAAGCTGAATTAAATGAATAACGAAGGAAAGCTCAGTTCACAACTGTAATTAAATGACATGAATGATATTTTTAAAATTAGGTCTGCTAAAAAACGCTTCCGATAGGAAAACTGTGATCAGACGAAACATTGGTATTGCTAGTCAAATGATATACACAATGCAGAGAAGAGATGGAATAAACAAGGTGGTAAGTACAGTGAGGAGTAGACAAGGGGTAGTAGAGGAAGGAGTTAGCAAATACACTATTACAGACCTCCAAAATCCAAGGTGCTCACAATCCTAGGAGTGATTTGTGGATGAGAAGATGCATAAAGCGTGGGAAAGAGATGAGAAGCGACGGACACGAGTCCGGGGAAGCTGCGTTTCTGTTAAAATGAAATTGCACACAGCCAGGAGTTATGGCACGCAGAGTACTGGGGTAACGATACGGTGTATGAGTGAGTGGCGACAGCAGAAGGTATCCGAGTCCTCAACAGTGGCAGTGTCGAGAGTGCTGGAAAGTCATCCGCACCTCAGAGAATGGGAAAGTGACGGCTGTAGATTAACCGGCACCTCGATCACTTTTTATTGGCCGAGCCCAAGCCACCGGCCGGGTTGGTGGCAGCCCCCATTAACCAGATGTTCTGGAGAAGGGTCAAGTAGGCAGCGGGATTACTTTGAAGGGCATTCACCAGCTGCAATAGAGCGTTCTGTTGGGCCTGTTGAGCGGCTGCAGCGGCAGCTTGTTGGGCTTGCTGAGCAGCGGCGGCTTGTTGCTGCTGCTGTTGTAACAATAGGTTGTACTGAATGGCCTGTTGGATTAACTGCTGCCGTGAATTGGTACTGCCCTGGCTGTTTGGGGCTTGAAGTAGTTAAGAAAATCGGAAGATCAACACGATAGAAGACGTAAAACGTAGCAAAATATTGAATAGAAAAGACTGAAATTACTTCAGGGCCTAGCGTTCTGAAGGTCTACAGTTAAACCGATTCAACAGAATCCGCTGAAGGCTGATCTTCAAAGTAATTCAATTCAAGTGATCGACCTTCTTTGACAAATCGGTTCCGACTACTAGGCGTCTTCC